GCTGGATAGTTTTTCTCACTTTTAGACAARCCTCTGCTAGCATAGGCTATGACCCKAAGCTTCCCATCCTGCTCTTGATAAAGGGCTGCTCCCAGTCCTTCACAACAAGCGTCAGTATGTAGCACATATGGGAGCTTGGGGTTTGCAAAAGCGRGTACAGGGGCTGATGTTAACCTGTCAATCAGYATTTTAAAAGCAGATGTGCAATCTGGTGTCCACTCTTTTCCAAAGGGTGTTTTGGAGCTCGACCCAATGTTAGGCCTTTCCCTTTTGTACACTTTTCCCCCTTTTTTAGGAGGGTAGTACCCTGCAGTGAGAGCATTTAGAGGTTTGGCGATCTTTGAATAGCCSTCCACRAATCGCCTGTAGTATCCAGCAAATCCAAGGAAACGCTTTAACTCCTCTCTATTTGCTGGACAGGGCCAATCTTTAAGGGCAGACAGTTTATCTGGGTCAGTGTGCACTCCTTGAGAATCCACAACATGTCCAAGGTATCTCACAGATGATCTGAAAAACTGGCATTTTTCTGGCGATAACTTCAGGCCATAACTCTTTAGACGATGCAGCACCTTCATGAGTCTCACCTCATGCTCTTCGAGAGTCTCAGAAAATACAATGAGGTCATCCAAAAAAAMCAGAACTTCACTCAAATGCATGTCACCTACACACTTTTCYATAAGGCGCTGGAAAGTGCTGGGTGCATTTGTGACACCTTGTGGCATRCGATYRAACTCGTAAAAGCCTAGGGGGCATGTGAACGCAGTTTTGGGTTTATCTGCCTCTGCCATTTCCACCTGGTAATATCCAGACTTAAGATCCATCACTGAGAACCATTTCGYTCCACTCAGRGCTGAAAATGTCTCCTCAATGTTGGGAAGGGCGTATGCATCTTTTACAGTGCGGCTATTAAGCTTCCTATAGTCGATGCATAGCCTTATCTTTCCATTCTTCTTTTTTACAATAACCACTGGGGATGAGAAGGGACTGTCTGACTCTCTTATTATGTCAGCATCCAGGAGCTCTCTTAGATGCTGTTTGACTGCCTCTYRATCACAGGGGTGTATTGGTCTTGAGCRCTCTTTGAAAGGTGTTTCRTCTTCAAGACGTATRTGATGCTTTACTACTGTGGTATGACCAAGAGACAGTTCATCCACTGCAAACACTTCTGACATRGAGTTGAGTTTATTTTCAATGCSTCGCTTCCACTCCTCTGGCATTGGAGAGTCATCCAAATTGAATGAATGCTTGATTTTCAATTTTRGGGAATTGTCTTGGACAGTGGAGTTCAGGGACATTACACTCTGGACAGCAGAAATTTCACCAATGACACATTTTGGGTGTAAAGTGATAGCATGACCTGTGACATTACTAAGGACAACAGGAATCTTGTTTGAGGCTCTCGTGTTGATGTTAATTAGTGCACACTGGAGGAAAAGCCCACCTGGCAAAGAAAACTCAGATGGTTCAAGAATGAAGGAGTTATTAGGATTTGTTTTTTCCACTCTTACATCTCCAAAAAGGCACATTTTATGTCCAGCTGGAATGTTAATGGGCTTATGTCCATGCAGTTTAACTGGACAAGGTTTAGTTCCACTTCCGTAGGCTCTGGCTACATRTTGGAGCAATAATGCAAGGCTGTCTGACCTTTTGAGAACATAGACTTGTCATGACTGATTCCACAAGAGTAAAGCTCTAGCAAGACATTAGTGCCAACTAAAACAGGAGTCTTGCTATTGAACAAGCATTCTGGAACAATGAGGGCTAAAACCTGCATTTGCTCTTCTGTCCCAATGATATTTTTTGGAAAAGTGAGAAGGACTTCTACGTACCCAAGGTAAGGCACTGTCTGCCCCCCTGCCCCCTCAACTTCAAGAATGTTATGTATGGGCTGAATGGGTATGTTTGCCAGGTATCTAGAGTGGAAAGTCTCTGATATTGTTACTTGAGACCCAGTGTCTAAGATACAGTTCATATTGCCTCCTGAACTTGTGGGCCCTCGCTGTAATTCTACAATATCTCTAGGAGATGTGATGAAACTGGGATTACTGCTGTTATCAGAGGAACACTCATTGTGAATCATTATTACAGGACTTGTCTGGTCTATGGCTCCTGGTCGTCCCGTGGCAGGGGCCTCTRCAAGTTTAAAGATGATTTGAGGGCTGCTTGGCGAGCCCAAAATCTGTCTCGTTTCTCCCTGAGCTCTACATTCTTTTTACGGACCAACCCTGGGTTGGGCTCAAAAGTACACTTAGCCGCAATGTGGCCATCTCCACCACACTTAAAACAGAACCATGGCTTAGGGGGGATTGGAGTCTGGGCCGTTGGGTCTCTGTTAGAAGCATAAGCAGCTAAANTAGGCTCTGGCTACATGTTGGAGCAATAATGCAAGGCTGTCTGACCTTTTGAGAAACATAGACTTGTCATGACTGATTCCACGAGAGTAAAGCTCTAGCAAGACATTAGTGCCAACTAAAACAGGAGTCTTGCTATTGAACAAGCATTCTGGAACAATGAGGGCTAAAACTTGCATGTGCTCTTCTGTCCCAATGATATTTTTTGGAAAAGTGAGAAGGACTTCTACGTACCCAAGGTAAGGCACTGCCTGCCACCCTGCCCCCTCAACTTCAAGAATGTTATGGATGGGCTGAATGGGTATGTTTGCCAGGTATCTAGAGTGGAAAGTCTCTGATATTGTTGTTACTTGAGACCCAGTGTCTAAGATACAGTCACATATCACATCTCCTAGAGATATTGTAGAATTACAGCGAGGGCCCACAAGTCCAGGAGGCAATATGAAACTGGGATTACTGCTGTTATCAGAGGAACACTCATTGTGAATCATTATTACAGGACTTGTCTGGTCTACGGCTCCTGGTCGTCCCGTGGCAGGGGCCGCTACAAGTTTAAAGATGATTTGAGGGCTGCTTGGCGAGCCCAAAATCTGTCTCGTTTCTCCCTGAGCTCTACATTCTTTTTACGGACCAACTCTGGGTTGGGCTCAAAAGTACACTTAGCCGCAATGTGGCCATCTCCACCACACTTAAAACAGAACCATGGCTTAGGGGGGATTGGAGTCTGGGCCGTTGGGTCTCTGTTAGAAGCATAAGCAGCTAAACTTTCACTTTGGGTAAGTGTTTCACTTCGGGCAAGATTGCTTCTTGCTTCTTCAGGTCTTTACTCCTGTTTACTTTGTTGAACTAGTGTTGCAACTTGCTTCCGGAGCTCAGCTACRTCCTTTTCAAGTTTAGTACTTGTTTCAGGTTTCTTTGTTGTGGTTGTGGGAGCAGGTTCAGGCTCAAATACTGGCAGAYTCAAAACTGAATGGACATGTGCTGCTGCTTTTGTGTTTCCAAGATGCTTTTTCATACGATCCATTTTGGCTGCTCTCTTATCCTCCTCTGTTCTCAAAAGTAAAAGCAGTTCAGGGAAGGATGGGGGGGGTGGCCTTCCGATGCTCAAGCTGGAGCCCAATGATAAGACTCTGGTCCCAGCACCCTCTACAAAATTGCCGAAGYATGTACTTGTCAGCTTCAGTGGCTGAAACTCCCCCTCTAGATATGGCTTCAGTTAGAAGGTTTTGGAGGCGATTCAAGTARGCGGAGGGTTTTTCACCTGAGTTTTGGTTAGAGCCAAGGAAGGTAGCAAATAGCTCCTCACCATCTTCAACCACTCCAAATGCTGACTCGAGTTGAGTGAGGTAAGCCTGGGGGTGTGCAGTTGTACCAAGCAGTTTAACAATRTCAGCTGCTGGGCTGAGGAGACTCTCTAAAATTCTCCTTACTTTTTGTGAGTCAGAGAGTGACACATCATTGAGAAGCAAATCCACTTGGGTACGCCATGCATCATAATCAACCTCACCATTTGGCTTTGGCAGCCTTCCAGAGAAAGTCCGGATCCTGCTTTGACTATAGCTAGATGGTGTGGCATCACTCCGAATGAAATGTTCAACTATAACCTTTTGGACATGTGGTGGGTTTACTGTACCTTGATCAAAAGCAGGCATAAATGTGGCAGCAGTGGATGGGATGCTGCGGGTGAGTGGATCTGGGGAGGCTGGCTCAGATGTGTTAGGTTGAATTCCACCAACCTTTTCATTGTTGTTGGTGAGAGCAGGACCCTGCTGGTCAGAAGGCTGAAACTGAGTATCAGGACTCTGAGAAGTAGAARTTTCCAACTGGGRCTTTTGCAACTCGTTMTGGAATACATCCCAAAAACTACTTTTACTTGTTCCGRCAAGTAAGCTTAGTTCAGCTAGACATTTTTGAGCCAATTCTCTTCCAAGTTCTTCCTGGCACATTTCACGAATAGATTTGACATACCAGTTTACACTCGGGTCATTAGGGCTTGCCCTGTTACCTAGTTGCGCTGGATCGAGCCTGGATATAGCTCGGTCAGATGAATACTCAATGAGAGCACGACCTTGTGGCTGGTCCAGGTCATCGGGAATTCTCACTATCTTTTTAATGTCTCCATTAACATTAAAGAAATCCTTAATCTGATCATCAGCATAAGCTTCATCTACGCCCGAGACAAAAAGACAGCTAGGCCCATGTACATCAAACTGGTTGCAGAGATCCATTTAGCAAAGAAAAAATGTAACTACTTAAATAACGTTTTTTTGTTTTTGTTTTGTTTAGTTTCAACAACTCAATTTTAGAAATCTGTGGTACAATGAAAAAATTCTAGGTTTTGTGTTTTTTTTTATCTTGGGGTAGAGTCCATCCTAAGTGCTAAACCAACTTCTCCTGGCTGGCTCGCCACTTTTGTAACCCTCCCAATGTTACTGCTTTTACAAGTTCTAAAGATCAGAGGATAGGGTTATCTACGTCTAGGTTC